AACAATAGAGATAATGGTACTATATATATATATATATATATATATATATATATATAACGTTTATTTTATTTAAATTAAATATATACACATTACGGTTTTAAAATTATTAACTTTAGTGAGCAAGGGTACATTCAGTTGATCAAAACAAGTGACAGTAAAGAAATTAACAATGTTACAAAAGATTCCTATTTCAAAAGAATAAGTATACAGGAATTTACACTTTCTATACATCAAAAACATCCTGGAAAAAATATATCATGATTTCCACAAAAAAAGCAACTTTTTTCATCATTGATACTATTCAGACTTGTTACATGAGCAACAAATCAGCATATTTGAATGATTTCTGAAGGATCATGTGGCACAGAAGACTAGAGTAATGATGCTGAAAATTAAAGGGGTCATCGGATGCCCATTTTCCACAAGTTGATATGATTCTTTAGGGTCTTAATGAAAAGTCTATAACATACTTTGGTTAAAATTTCTCAATGGTAGTGTAAAAAACACCCTTTTTACCCTGTCAAAATCAGTTACAAGCTGTATTGTTGCATGTCGCTTTAAATGCTAATGAGCTCTGCTGACCCCACCCCTCTCTTCTGTGGGGTGACGAGCAGACTGTAAACTTTAGGCCATGTCCACACGTACACGGGTATTTTTTATAGTTTTTCCTTCCGTTTTTAAAAAAATCTCCGTCCACATGAAAACGCAAGCGCATGCTATGAAGCACTGTCAAGAGCATGCCAAACCAACAGGTGGCGATATAATCTCAACCGTAAAGCCATGTTGGCCAATCAGAAGCCTGAAAAAGTCTCCAGTAGGCGGAGATAACAGCGAAGGCGCCGACGTCACAAGCCAAAAACTCCGGTTTCGCTGTCTTCACGATAACACTGCAACCGGAGTTTTTGAAAATCTTCACCCTGGCAGGCGTTTTCAAAAATGTTCGGTTTCAGTGACCTGGTGCTGTGTTTGTGTGTGGACGAATGGCCAAACCGCGTAGAAAAAGCTGCGGTTTTAAAAATAACTGCGTTCGTGTGGACAGGGCCTTATTAGCCGCATTTTGCCACGAAACTGGCTAACTAGCATACGAAAGGCGATTTGCAAAGATTCATAAAAAACCCTTATACTCCTTTCTACTGTAGATGAAGCTGGATCACGAATGATTTGCGCGAACATAGACGCATTTAGGCATATCGGCGCATTCCTTTCAAAAACAAATATAAAAAGTTAATCCTCTGCATCTTCTGCGGCTCAGATGTTGGGAGTAAATGTCTACTGCTATGTTCATTATTACATCCAACAACAAATCGCCTCAATCGCTTAGGAGACATTCTTGTCTTCCCCTGCACCGGAATCAACACAATGGCAGACAGCTCACAGCTCACTCAGGGCGGGTCTAAGGTAAGACAGCCTTGTCCGTCAACTATCGTGTGAGCAGCCTGTGCAGAACTACGTCATTCTGACAGGAATCTTAGAACAGCCTGAATTGAGAAAGGGGATTTTAAAATAGGGATTTAAAAAAAAATAAACACTGGGTGGATTTTTATCATTATAGGGTGGATGTGTACACACACTTCCAACACACATTTATGTTCAAACAACATGTAAAAGTGAATTTTGCATCCAATGACCCCTTTAAGCCATACAATCGCAGGAATTATGTTTTGTTATTTAGAGACTTGAGAGACTTATTTTACAAAATTTTACTGACCACAAACCTTTGAGCATTATTGTATATACAGTAGTACAATAGAAAAACAATTAGTACAAACAAATGTGAAATGTGATCGCCATTGCATTGCAGGAATATGCACAAAACTTGATTTCTCTGCACAAAACCCACACATCATATTACTGTCTGAAGCAATACATTGCAAAATGTTTGCAATCTAGTCAAGGTTTTGCTGATGAGGGTTCATCACAGGATTAGCAGGGTGCCCGGCAGAGTCATTACTTTGTCTTTTTTTTTTCTGGCAGCCTTGATCCCTCTGGATTGCTTGACATTGCATCATTTATTTGTATCTGTTCCCGTGTGTTTAGTGTAGTGAAAGTGCGTCAGAGTGAGGGAGAGCAAGGAAATCCCCTTCTGCCACGTGGGATATGAACAAAGACTCCAGTTTGCCTCAAACTTTCTCTTTTGCCTTGCTGCGCGAGAGGTCCCACCACGCTCGACTGCTGGCATTTACACGCTTCAGTCCTCTCTCACCGCACACCTTCCCGTGGAGATTGGCTCACTTTGTTTCCTCAAGATGAATGTCTTTTTGAACCTCTTTGAACTGCAGTTATATTATAGGTTCCAGCTCTGTGGTGATTCATCGAATGGGAACTACAGAGGAATTTGCTGCATCACAGAGCAAATCTGTTCAGATTCCTCAGAAACATTTCTTTGACGTGACCAACAAGAGTATATGAATGATGTCTCTTAAGAAAGATCTGTTTACTGGTTCTCAATTACTTTATCTTTCTGTCCATCCATCACCTTAAGTCTCACTTTCACAGTCTCTCCACCACTGTCTTTTCATATAGTGGTTTGTATGAATAATATATGCCACATTGTTTCGCCGTCATTAAAGGTGACCTTGGTTAATTATTGATTGGGTCAGATGATTACAGGTCCGACCTCTGTATGTTCTTGTCTGCATGTCATCTCTGTTTTCATGTTTATGCTCTTCCTCTTATTCCTGGAGACCCTCATATGATGAATTACTGTCTATTGTTATTGCTGGGGGAGTGTTGGCGCCTTTACAGAGACATGAAATGTAAAATTACAAATGTAACCATGAATGTCAAGACTATTACTTTGTTTTAATGAAATATGTAAGAGGTAATGTATAGTCATTTGGTCATTATCACTAAATAAACCCTGACGGTGATCAGGTTGAGCCCCTGAAGGGGTTTATTTTGTTACAGTGACCGGCTGACTCTAAAATGTCCTGCCTATTACCTTGCTACTTGTCAAATGAATACATAAATGGACTTGAAATATTGTTTTGAGTTTTGATTTTTTTTTTTTGTGAGACCATGTGATTGAAGGAGTATAATAAGGAAATAATAATACAGTTTAGCAGCTGTTATGTAAACGCATTTAACCACTGAATATTGTGATTGACCAACCAGAATCAAGCAGAGAACTGTGAAATAGGATTAGTTCGTTTTTATATTTATGTAATATAAAATATTATATTTGTAACATTTTTATATTAAATATTATACACTACAGTTAAAAAATTTGGGGTCAGTTAAAAAAGTTTTTTTTTAATTATTCAAAAGTGATCGTAGAGTCACTTCAAACAGTCTCTTTGAAATAAATGCTGTTCATTTGAATTTTATTAAATAATCTTGAAAAACGCAACAAATGTCCACAAAAAAAAGACTGTTTTCAACATTATTACTAAAAGATTTCTGAAGGATCATGTGACGCTTAATATTGGAGTAATGCCTGCAGAAAATTCATCATTTCTATCACAAAGGAATAATTTTGAGGTTATAATGTGAGAAGAAAGAGACCACGGATTAGTTGAAAAGACGTAACACCAGTGCAGCTATGGGAAATCATAATACAGTATTCAAACATATTTGAGCACTGAATATTATGATTGTCCAATTAGAATCAAGCAGAAAATAGGATTAGTTGATGGTATATCAGAACGGACGCCATATCAGACATGCAGACTGATGACCGGCTGAATGTCGATACAATGAATGAAAAGGATGGGAGGAACGTCACCTTGACCTTTCGGAGGCATTCCCTCATCGCTATGGCCCTTTGGCCTGAATGCTTTAATAAACCCTCATGAAATGAACCCCTAATGCGTGCCAGTGTGCTGACTCGACAGCCATCGCTCGGGTCAATCTGAGTTTGATTATTCTGGCCCTGGCTGACCCAAGCTGAGGTTGAGTCAGGTCAGGAATGAAGCACCTGTCACTTGTATATAATTTGCAAGAGAATGATGAATGTGACTGTAATGGCTAAACCGCTACAGAATTAAATCCAGTGATGAACGTGTAATGACCTCATGATTTACAATAGTTGTTTGCCTTGTGTTGTGTTACATTAGCTTGCATGTTTGGCCTTCAGCGGCCTGTAAAGTTCACACAGTGGTCACACCGCAGCCCCTCAACCCCTGTTAAAGCACTTGTCACCGAAGTTATAGCAGCAGAGGGATGCTTTTACATCTCTCTCGGTCCACAGACCTGTAGTGGAGTGGAGGCAGTGAGAATGTGCTGACAGTCTGAGGCACACTGACTCTCTGGGGTGACCAGACGGCTCCTGCTGACTCAGTGCCAATCGCTCAGTGATGTCTGGCTGCATTCACAGAAACTGAATGAAAGCTCTTCTGATTGAGGCTTGGATAAACAAGTCTTCAAAGAGCAAAGAAGATACATGTTTCTTTTCTTACTCAACGTAATTTTCTAAAATAAATAAACAATTTATAATATTATATTTCTACTTTTAAGTGAAATTGTATTTAATTCTTTATCATTTTTTGATTGAATTCTGGAATATATTTTGTGCATATATATAATTCTGCCTTATATTAATATTTTTATATATATTTTATATATACACACACACACATACATATATGTGACCATGGACCACAAATCCAGTCATAAGGGTCAATTTCTCGAAATTGAGATTTATACATCATCAACTATTTGAATATCTGGAATCTGAGGGTGCAAAAAAATCTAAATATTGAGAAAATCGCCTTTAACGTTGTCCAAATGAAGTTCTTAGCAATGCATATTACTAATCAAAAATTAAGTTTTGATATATTTACGCTAGGAAATTTACAAAATATTTTCATGGAACATGATCTTTACTTAATATCCTAATGATTTTTGGCATAAAAGAAAAATCTATAATTTTGACCCATACAATGTTTTTTTGGCTATTGCTAAAAATATACCCAAGCGACTGGTTTTGTGGTCCAGGGTCACATATACACATGTAGATACATGCACATATACATCAAATAAAAGATACTCTGTAAAAAGAAGTAAAAATCATAGTAAATAAAGCAGAGAAAATACTGAATTCCAACTCATTGTTTGTGCTTTGGATAAAAGTGTCTGACAAATGATTAGAGATGTTGTGTGGAGGTGAATTTAGAGGAAGAACAGGATCAAAATATTTTGAATTGGGGGAAAAAAAAACATTGATTAATCTGATCCCTTGGTTTGGCATAGATCACCATTCAATACTTGTAGATCATAGATTTAAATATAGATTCCATATAAAGTACATGCTAGGATAATGGCTTTCTGATTGGGATTTTCCTTCAAGCTGTTTCACAGAATCACATGAAGCTCTCAAGCAGCACCAGGATCCTGCATGAGATCAATACCAGCTTCACAGACCAATGTTTGATCGTTGACCACAGGTTGATTTTTGTATAATCTTCAACACAAGAGTGCAGCACCTATTAAACCCCCCCAATACCGTGTAGAATGCTGTGATGTTCAAGAAGAATAAAAGCTCGCCTTTTCTCTTTCTTCTGTTGAGTGAATTGCTCCTGAGGCTTGCTGACTGAATACTGATGTGTTAAACATAGAGGTCACGCAGTCGTTTATATTCAACAGTGACTCGTTGAGGAAGATGAAAACCGATCGATACCGGTGTAAACCCTCTGAACCAATGCTGTGTGTTTCAGGAAAGGGAAAATAGGGTCTTGTGGAGGTCTGTAGAACACAAGAAGGTGACTGTTGTCAGATAGGCTCTTACATTCCCATGAGAACAGCAAGGAGGATTTATTAGCCCTGCTTTAAGCACGCAAACTGGTTCAATGTTCTCAAGGTCATTTTTCCCCCTCTAGTCCTCAGATTTGTGTGCAGATCAGCTAAATAAAAATGCAGTGGCCAGCGCTGTCACATCAACATAGTTCCCCCTTTACATTTCCCCAGTTGCCCCCAAAACTCTGAAAATTAAGAAAAAATAAATAAAAAAAAATATATATATATATACTGTATATACCGTATATATATATGTATGACTGGTCACTAGGTGGTATGAATCCACTGGGACCTAAAACTCCAGTTTCTAAGCCCCTTCGGCCCCGAGAGCCCATCATTTATCTAACATGTCTGGGAGGATGTGAAGCACCTGAGCCAGTTAGTCAGGATGTGATGGATCACCGTACTGTTTCCTGCTGATCGCGTCCCTGATCCCTCCCCCATCTCCGTTTTCTTTTCTCTTACCAGTCTCACCATCTCTTCCTATCTCTCCATCTACACCCAGCTGGGACCAGCTCTTCCATCAAGCCCAATTGTCTTTCCGAGCTGACAGTTCCCTCCACACACCCGCAGTTGACCTGCTCTTTATTTGTGTTGCCTAAAATAGCTGGGCTGTCAGTGTATCTGTGCCACTGTAGCGCGATATGGAGTATTAACTTTATCAAAGTCACTTGTAATGTCTCAGCGCTGCTCGAGTCTGCCACCGAGCATTTTTCTGCATGAACACGTTTGATGCTCCTCTGATGTTTGTACCATCAATAGTCTCTCTGGACAACTAAAAATACCTTTCAAAATTCCCACACATAAGTGAAATAATGAATTTATGTTAGTGTTTCTTTCTTCCTTCTTACAAGTCATTAAATATACAGATGTTTTTGTACATGTGCATTTGGAAATGTTTTATATAATAATCTATATAATATATAATTGAATCCGCTTGTAGCATTTCTCACGGCGGTGGAGCAAACCCACTATAGTTTTCTTTAGTCAAGAATGTAGTTGTTTAAACGTCAAATACAGTGGGTACGGAAAGTATTCAGACCCCCTTAAATTTTTCACTCTTTGTTATATTGCAGCCATTTGCTAAAAT